TATGGGTAAACTTGTTTTACACAGAGAGTGATTTGTGTGTGGAATGAACTTTCAGAGAAAGTGTTGAATGTGGGTACAGTTACAACATTTAAAAGACATATTTGGATAAGTTCATGAATAGGAAAATTTAGAGGGATATGGGCCAAATGTTTAGTTTGGGAACATGGTCGGCATGGACTAGTTGGACCAAAGGTCTGTTTCCATGCTGTATGACTCTAAGATAGCACATGAGAAATGAAGAAAATACAAGAATATGTTTGATGAAGTGAGTGGGGAAGAGAATCTTGTGAAAAGTAAACACTAACATGGACCAGTTGGGCTGAATGACCATCAAGGTTGTTCCACGAGCTGGCTGTATTCTTCCTTCCTGCCTCGACACAGAAAATATCATCTGATGATGGCAGTTCGGATCACAGTGCACAGGGACAGTGTACTCATGCATTTCTTCAAACAACCCCTTTTGTGCATCTTAATAAGGTCTCCGGTACAATACAACAAGTGGCAAAGTTTCTCCAGCACTGATAACAGAATTGTTACTCTCAGTTGTTCAGATTTTCTGCAGCTATCTCACAATTTTCCCATTGATGCTGAAAGAAGGTCCAGTTCTGCCTCAAATCACCTTCAACTTATTAATGAGTGAGACCAATTTTAGAAAACTGTGTTCAATTTTGGTGGCCTGCTATAGGACGGATGGTGTTAAACTTGAGAGGATGCAGAAAAGATTTACAAGGATGTTGCGGGGCCTGGAGGGTTTGAGCTATAGGGAGAGACTGAATAGGCTGGGGCTATTTTCCCTGGAGCGTCGGAGGCTGAGGGTTGACCTTATGGAGATTTATAAAATCATGAGGGGCATGGATAGGGTGAATAGACAAAGTTTTTTTCCTATGGTAGGGGAGTACGAAACTTGAGGGTGTAGGTTTAAGATGAGAAGGGTGAAATTTAAAAAGGTCCTGGGGAGTAACTTTTTCACATAGAGGGTGGTGCGTGTGTGGAACGAGCTGCCAGAGGAAGTGGTGGAGGTGGGTACAATTACAACATTTTAAAGGCACTCGGATAGGTATATGAACAAGAAAGTTTAGAGGCATATGGGCCAAATGCTGGCAAATGGGACTAGGTCAGATTGGGATGTCTGGTCAAAGCAGACGAATTGGATCAAAGGGTCTGTTTCGGTGCTGTATAACTCTATGATTCCATAGGTGCAGGGACTGGAAAATTAAATGCCGTACTGACTCATCCAGCAGTGGAAAGTTGCAGACTGTAGTGTTCGTTCTTTCTTACAGTTCTTTTACAGCTTTCAAAACCCATACTATTTCAGCTGCACCTTTATTCTGACTCCACGGATGGAATTTCCTTTTTTTTGCACAGTGATGAGCAGGAGGGACTTCTACGCATTGAATCATAGAGTTATACAGCATGGAAACAGAACTTTCCACCCAACTTGTCCATGCAGACCACATTTCCTAAATGGAAGTCGTTTGATTTGCCTCCATTTGGCCTAAATCGCTCCAAACCTTTCCTATACATGTACCTGTTATCATTGTCAGGGGTGAATCAGATTACCCTGCACAATTATATTCCTCTCATCCATGCATGGTAATACCTCAAATTTTATGGAGGTTCTGCCATTTGCTGGACCTTCCAGCCTCCAATATCTTGGTTCCATATTTGATATCTTCTTGCCATATTTAAAAGACATTGGAGAGTAATCAGTCCCTGCAATCCAGGAGTAGCATTCTACTTGTGCTAATTCACAACTCCACCCATCCCAGGATTTGCCAGAGACCATGCAAAAGCTTTAGCAATGCCATAAGACCATCAGAAATAGGAACAGAACTAAGCCGTTTGGCCCATCAAGCTTGTTTTGCCATTCATAGGATTATGGCTGATCTGATATTCCTCACATCCACTTTCCTGCCCTTTCCCTGTAAGCCTTGATTCCCTGACTGACGAAGAATGTAACTCGGCCTCAGACATACACAAGGACTCTGCCCCCACAGCTCTCTGTGACAAGGAGTTCCAAAGACTCCTAACCCTTTGAGAGAAGAAATTCCTCCTCAGCTCAGTCTTAAATTAGCACTCTCTTAATTCTGAGGCTAAGCCCTCTGATCATAGACTTTCCAATGATGCTTCACTAGAGCTTCCCCTGAAGTCTGTAGAGGAGAGAAGGGAAGTTCTTTTCCCTGGATATGGCGACAGGAGGCCATCCCGACAGATGAAGGCTACGTGGACAGAGGTGGTTGTGGAGGTCTGCGCCTGTGGGCAGCTCGCGAGAACTTTGTTCCAGTGCCATGAATGGTTTACTGTACACTGCCTGGCTACATACCACTGCCTACTCAATGTGTCAAGTTCAGTGAATGAGAATTGTTGTTGTACAGTTGCCACTGCATATGACTGCCATACAGGAGGATGGGTAACTGGCATCCCAATCACATGTCTCATGTGCAATCAGTGCCTGTGAATTCACTGCAGCAACTGGCATTGGTACTGCCACTCACGCATCTTCTAGGCTTCACACTTCAAACATAAATGGAGCTATAACACACTGTGTAAGAGCTGCTATCAGCTGACTGATCTTTCATCGCAACTACCAGAGAATGATAGCTTTTCACCAAAAGCTTGCATCTGACAAGAACCCAACCATAAAGGTCCTTTTTAGTTGGGTCCTGAGGGCTTGCTTGCCCTTGTCTAGTCTGATGGCATCACTTAGTGTGGCTACCTTACTTGGGGATGGGGGGGGGGGGCGCTTCTAGGCCCATGGTCAGATTTCACCCCTAAAACTATAAGCGTTTAACAACAATCCATGATGCCAGACTTCTGATAAGATGGAAAGGTTTCACCCTTAGCACAGAAACTATAAGAAATGGTACCAGGAGTAGGCCATTTGGTCCCTTGAGCCTGCTCTTCCATTCAATAGGACCATAACTGATTGGACTTTCCTTAAGTCAACTTTCCTGCATTTTTCCCATAATTCTTGATTCCCCCACTGATGAAGACTCGATCTAGTTCTGCTTTAAACATATACAAATATACTAAACCTTTGTGAATGCAAAAAAGTGCCTTAATGAAGGCGCCAAATTGTGGAAGAGTTTAGGAGGAAGAAATCTTTCTGCCAGGTACACACCTCATACGTACAGTCAGGTTTGCGAACACACATGTTTCCCAGCTTTTGACAAACAAGATTGTACCTGTGAATGTAACTCCAGCAGGCTGGGGTTTAGAGTGCTCGTGACATGACGATCACCTTCCTGATCAAGAGTCAAACCATTTGAAAGGTTGTGGGAGCTAAATCGCAGAACTATAACTGGCCATTGGGCAACTGAGTTTTTTTTATCAACCGTCCAATTAACTTTCCCCTGTCTGTGCTTCTAAAAATTTCAGGCATTAACTTTAATGGATTCTGTGTCTAAACAGAAAGCAACTACACATGGGAACACATGGCAAGACGGAATGGACACTACAATTAAATACCCCCTTACATGTAGGATTGACCCAATAAGAAAAACCGATAAGACTTGTGACTGACACATACTGGTCTGATTTGTCTTGTATATCTCAGAACAGTGCTCCAGTATGTTCATTTCTAAATATTGCTGACATTTTTACTGTATTTGGGTGGCATGGTAGCTCTGTGGTTCGCACTGCTGCCTCACAGTGCCAGGGCCTTGGGTTTGATTCCAGCCTCGGGTTTGCACATTCTCCCCATGTCTGTGTGGATTTCCTCCCACAGTCTAAAGATCTTCAGGCTAGGTGGATAGGCCATGCTAAGTTGCTTATAGTGTTCAGGGATGTATAGATTAGCTGTTAGCAATGGGAAATACAGGGAAAGGGTAGAGGGCTAGATCTGGGTGGGATGATCTTTGGAGTCTTGGTGTGAACTTGTTGAGCTGAATGGTCTATTTCCACACTGTAGGGATTCTATGATTTGTTTCTCTCTGAGGATGCAAATACTTATATTCTATTGTTATAAATTTGCTTTACAGGAGTTTCTGCACAACAAATGTTTATTTAATAAAAATGGAAAGAAAATTAAGTGGCGATTTGAAGGAAAACCAGGTGACTCAGTGTGCGGCCAACAATTACAACTGACAAAAGTTTGAATCAAACAAAAGGAATAAAAAAAAACTCCTTCCTTCACGTTTTAAAAGTACGGAAATCCGTAAAACATAAGATTAACTGGAATATGTGCGCGGGTAAAATTGTTCCGTCTCTGTCACTAAATGGATAGGAACGAACCTTCGCCGCTGCCATAGTAACGGGGGGGATTAACAAGGGTGTGACACACGAAGGAAGTGCAGCTTTGAGGTAGGTGGGAGAGAGCGCGGTTGATATTCATGATTATAATTACACTTAAAGTTAGTGGCTGTTAGCACAGCAGTAGGATTTGTTTTATCGCTAACTACATGAGCAATCTATTAAAGAGTTGAATATATTGACTATAGAGAATAAAATCCATTTTTTGTTTGGTTCAGAAGGTGAGTGTCCAAGGATGTTCCTGCTGTTGTATCCTGACACCAAACAGGGCATTCTCTGCTTAGCTTTAGTATACTGATGTGATACTCTATTCAGTTACTTTTGTTAGGGAGCTGTCTAACTTCAAACATTGGAAAGGAAGAGCAGCAATTATCAAATTGGGACTATCCTGCCATTGGCCAACCCTCATGAATCAATTGTACTCCTGGGAAAGGCAAGAAAGTAAAATCTAAGATGTATTTAGCAATTGTAAGAATAATTTAAAACCATTAGGCCCCACAGGGTGACCATGCTGTACACAGCATTCCTTGCTTCATCTGAACCCATCAGCATAATTTATTCCTTTCTTTTTTTATCTGGCTTTCTCTATAATACTATGCTATTTGTTTCAGCTATGCCATTTGACAGCCAACTCCATATTATTCTGTTGAAAGGGCAAAATATTCTACCTGAATTCTCTGTTTGATTTACTAGTGTCTATCATATATTTAGTTTCAACCACAGGAGGAAACATCTGTATGTTAACCCTAGTGTAATTTTAGATGTCTTTATCACATCACATCACATCAGCTTCTCTTTTCTAGAGAAAACTGTGCAAGAACCTAATTTTTCTGCACTCTCTAAGTTCTGAGAGATAATAATAACCCCAAGTCCATGTAATTCAAGTTAACCTGCAACTTATTTCTTAGAAAGAAAAGTTAAGTTTACAGAAGAATGGCGAGCAGACGGATTACTCAGGAGACGTTTGATTCTGTGGTGCAAGAAAACATAACTGAGTTTCAAATGGAGCCAGAAGAGGCTCTGAATGAAGCAATACAACAATTTGAGTCACAAGGTAGGTGAAGTTTTGAATATTCACAGGAAAAAGTTCACACAAGGCATAATGCATTATGAGGTTAGCATGATGGTACTGTTATTGGAATAGTAAATCACAGATTTGATCCAGGGACATAAGCTCAAACACTACTATTGCATCTGACAGAATTTAAATCCAGTCAATAAATCTGAACAAAAATGCTTATTCGTTTCATGAAGGTGAATGCTGCAGTCTTGTAAAAACCCACTAATGTCCTTTAGGGAGGAAATCTGTCAATCTGACCTGCACGTGACTAGAGAAGGACAGCATTGTGGTTGACTCTTAACTTTCCTTGGAGACGACTTAGCAAGACACTTAATTGTATCAAACTACTACAGAAAGTGTTGTGGGTGCACTCGCACCATGTGGATAGCTGCAAGTGGTTTGCTATCATCTTGCCAAGGGCAATTAGGGATGAGCAGCAAATGCTCTTGCCTGAAATGCTATGACCCAAGAATGGCTAGAAAGAAGCGTTGGCCCCTGTTGCGCTAAGGTCATTGAGTTAAGCAATTGACAGAACTAGAAATGTTTAATTTTCTTTGGATCTGTTTCACTCTCTCTGCAGGTGTCGACCTTATTAACATAGTGAAAGCTGTCCAGAATACAACTACAGAAGCCAGTGATCAGAAGCACATTGTCCTGCAGGTGATAGCAATGTATGAGAGGCTGTATGTCTGTGATGTAATTTTTCAAAATCTCTCTATTTGTAATTTTTCTTAAAATGAAGCTCTCAATTAGTAAACATGTTTCTGTGATGTATATCTTTTAAGACTGAATTCCATTTGTTTTGAAACTGTTCATCAGATGATGCATCTCCTATGTTCTTAGCCCCCTCTAAACATCTGACCACCAGCCATTTTTTTGCTGAAAACATCAGCAACCCCCTTTCCACAGCCACGATTTATCCACTCTTCAAAAATGATATTTTCACCCACCTAAGAACTCCAGCTTTAACGCTTCCTAATTACTGCTTTATCTCTAATTTTTGCTTCTTGAGATCTTGGTGACCACTCTTCCTCCAATTTCTGTACGAGTCTTTTTAGGTCTACTTCTGCTCTGGTCATTGCTCTAAGACTGTTGTAGTCCAAGTCACCAATGCCATTCTTATGACGGTGAATAGGTAAATAATTCCTCCTTGTCCTACATAACATCCCATGTATTCTTTAGCACATTTCATTTTCCTTCACTGCTTCTTATCTGTGACACCGTCCTCGCTTAATTCTGCTTACGTGATGGCACATTGTAACCAGTGACCTGCTGTATTTTCTGTCTTCCTTCCTGCAATAATTCCTTGGGCATGCACAAAGGTTCCCTCTCCTATTTCTGATCCATATATTGCAGCCTTGAAAACCTTTTTCTCAGCCTGCTCTCCAAATACACATGAACAAACCAGTTTTGATAGTCAATTGCATGTCCAGCGTCAATTGCAACTCTGCGCTTGTAGTGAATTTGTAGCCCTGCCCTGCTGAAAGCAGACAATAGGAAATTCTGCGCAGCCTACCTGCTCCATTGCCTTAATACTGTCCCATGCTTGGTGACACAATGGTGCAAAGTCTGGCTCAAGTTGTCAACGTGGCCTGGTGATATTTTGATACATGTACCCCAGGGGGAGGGAGATATCAGATGGGAGTAGCAAAAGTATTCATATCTTGAATCCATCAGTCCACAGGGTCACTCAGTTTCCTGTCCTTTTGACATGGCTTTTCAGAAACAGCCATCTAAAGAGGCTGAGAAATTATATACATATTTTTGAAATGACAGAGTGGACAATTCATAGCTGTCATTAAGCCCCATTCATGTGTCTCCCCTGTGCTTGCTGTGTGCTGACTAACTGGCTCACAGTTGAACAATGCTTCAATTTTCAAAACTTTCATCCTGGTTTTAAAATTCTTCACTACCCTTGGCCCTCCCTATTGCAGTAATCCCCTGCAACTCCACAACTGTTTGAGATCTCAGCCCCTTTGGATGGTTTACCATCCACTATGTAAATACAAGTTATTGGCATAGCAAATGATTACTTGTGTCTTTTTAGGCCCTTGATGAGCTTCGGAGAGCCCTGGATCTCATGGCTCTGGATGAAATGGGGGATCACCTGACTAACTTCAGTGAGCAATGTAGCCTTGACTTTGCTCACCGTCACCTGGCAGCCGAAAAGTCAGCCTATCCCACGGTCCTTTCTTCCTGTCGACAACTGATGTCCAATGCACCCTATCTGCTGAAGGGAATCCAGGCCTTGGCCAATCTGTTGGATGGTCAGCCAGACCTCCTCGACCCAGAGGGCCAGCAGCTCCTCCTGGAGATCTTGAAGCAGCACCGGGACCATGCAGCTCTGAACACAGTGACAATCTGCGCCATCCGTCACAGTTGTCTGAAACACGAGCAGAACCGCCAAGACCTCGTGCAGCTAGGCGTTTTGGCATTGCTGACTGGCGCTATTGTGAACCATGGCAATCAGGCGGATGTGGTCAGAGAGGCAGGGAGAGCCCTGCGGGTCATGACCTATGACGACGATATCCGGGTGCCCTTTGGCCGTGCTCACGATCATGCCAAACTGATAGTGATGGAGAATGATGGACTTCGGATACTCATTGAAGCTGCAAAAGGTACGGCGCAGAAACTGTGCTGGGGAACCCTATCCTAATGGGTAATATTGTCGTTAACACATGCAAAAGCTGAAAGGTTACAGCCAGGTTTAAGAGACTGAGGCACTTTTTCCAAAGAAAGCAAAGGTTGAGTGGTGGTCTGAAAGAAGTCTTTAAAATGATGGAAGGAGATTGTTGGATGAGATTATGATAAGTTGTTTCCAGTTCCTGGGGAAACCAGAATTGGGGACTGTAAATAAATCCAGTCAGGAATTTGGGAGGAAAGTCTTTACGTAGAGAGTGGTAAGGATGAGGAGCTTGCTATTGAATAGAGTGTGGCAGGGAATTACTTAAATTTCAGGTAAAGCTTGATAACCACGAGGAAGAAAGGAATGCAAGAGTTTGCTGGTAAGGTTATGTGAAGTAGCATGAAAACAGACTCCTATGGAACATAAATGGACCAGTTGGGCCAAAAGGCTTGTTTCACACCTGTAATTTTTATACGATTCTAACACTGCAATCACAGTAACAGCAAGAATATTGTCATTTCACCGGAAATTGGAGGGATTGGCTTTATTAAGGCAAGGAATCTGATAGGTTGTGGAATTAGACCTCAATTCAGTTTTTTGGTCTGGATGTTTGTTTGTGAAATAGGAATACTGAATACTAAATAGAGCTCCAGTAGTGTTTTGTTAAGAGTCCTCCTCAGTTTATTTATTGTATGGATTAGATACCTTGGATAGACAATCAGGGGCTGGAAGAACACAGCAGGCCAGGCAGCATCTGGAGGAAAGGAGCAGTCAATGTCTCAGGTATTACCCTTCTTCAGGACTTTAGGACATTCCCAAGATACCTTGGGAATTTTTCATGGATAGGCTGGGACTTTATCCACCGGAGCATAGGCAGTTCAGAGGTGACCTCATAGAAGTTTATAAATAGGGTTAATAGTTTATAGATAGGGTTAATGGTGGTTGTCTTTTCTGTAGGGTGGGGGATTTCAAGACTAGGGGGCACGTTTTTAAGGTGAGAGGAGAGAGATTTTAAAAAGACGCGAGGGGCAAATTTTTTACACTGCAGGTGGTTTGCATGTGGAATCACTTCCTGAGGAAGTGGTTGATGTGGGTACAGTTACAATATTTAAAAGACATTTGGATATGTATATGAATAGGAAAGGTCTGGAGGGATATGGGCCAGGAGCAGGCAGATGCGACTAGGTTAGTTTGGGATTATGTTCGGCAGGAGCTGGTTGGACTGAAGGGTCTGTTTAGGTGCTGTATGACTCTATGTGCAAAACATGCCCTGGGAACCTTTGATGTAATCTGTATGTGTCATTGCTTGAATGTGTGCATATACTAGACTGTCATCTATGTCTTGATATATATCTTGTTTAAGGTTTGTCTCTCTTTGCACATATATCTGTGTCCGTCTTCAGATTTGTCACTTTCTGACACTTCCTGCTGTCTTTTAGACAAAATGGCTATTCAAGTATCAGGACAAGTAGTGAGATCTAGCAGGATCTTCTGCATTGAGAAATAGTTGCTATTTCAATCCTGACCACATTGTCTAAGACCAATTATAGGCAGCCCTACCATCATTCCCCTCCCACGATCAGCATCACCCAAGACTTGGTCCTTTTATATGGCTCAGTCTCATTTGACAATGGAATCGCTCACTGAGCCTTCATAACAGTCTGTAGAGAGTTTTAACCTGCAGGGACAAGAGTTGAGTGAAGGAAATTATTATTTTTCAATTCTCATGAAAAAGTAATATATATCCAATCAGTTGAATAAATCTTGCCCTGTGTATGCCACAAGCTAAATAAATATTTAACAATATTTGTATTTACTGATAGCCCTGTCACCTTCAGCTGAGTGGGTAGCACTCTCTCTCTGAATCAGAAGATTGCGGACCTAAAGACTTGAGTTCAAACTCTAGGTTCATACTCCCAGTGTTGTACATCACAGGTTCCTTTTCTCATATGAGGTGTCAAGGGAGACGATGGCCTAGCGGTATTATCATTAGACTGTTAATACAGAGTGTTATAGACCAGACCAAACCCCCTCAAAACCTATTAAGAAGATAGTGTAGACCCTAACATTACCTTATTTTAAAGGTAAACGTAAGGTGTTGTGTTCCAGATGCAATTTGATTGGTCAAACTACCAGGCTTGAAACAGAACACACTTTATTCATATATTATAATTAGAATATAAACAAAATAAAAATAAAATAATTTACTTAACTATAACTATCAAAATGCTTAACAAAATATTACATATATTAGCTACTTCTAATTAACTGTTCCACTATAGTAACATCCCATAAACACCCTTGGCAAAGGCAAATTCAGTAAAGTGGATTTTCTCATATGCAATTCTAGCAGCAGAAGGAGAGTCCCAGTGTTTAGCTGTAACAGAGAGAGCAATAACAGTGTCCACATTCAGCTTCAAGATCACAGCAACTGCTACTGAAGGCTAAAACTAAAAAAAAACTGGTTCTATGGGAGCTTGACCCCACCCATTTAGACTGCTTCTATTCCAAACCTTTCTAAGAAAAACCAAAGCCTCACAAGCTGCTTACTTTCTTGACTTTGGGGAAGACTGCCCATCACCTCTGCCTCAATCTTTCTTCATTTAAAAAAAAAGGACAAAATACACTTCTTAAAGCCATAGTGTTGTCACGAGACCCAGATAATGTTCTCGCTACCCAGGTTCGAAGCCCACCGTGGCAGATGGTGGAAATTGAATTCAATAAAAATCTGGAATTAAGAGTCTAATTAAGACCATCAATCTATTGTTAATTGTCGGAAAAGCTCATTAGGCTCACTAATGTCCTTTAGGGAAGGAAACTGCCATCCTTCTCTGGTCGGGCCTACATGTGAGTTCAGACCCTTAGCAATGTGGTTGAATCTTAACTGCCCTCTGGTGAATTAGGGATTGGCAATAAATACTGATCTAGCCAGCGATATCCTCATGAATGAATTTTTAAAAAAAGTCCTGTGTACCCTCTTAACTTACCATAAAACATTTCACAATCACCATTTTGGAGAAGAGAAAATGAGTTATTACTGGTGACCTGCTTAATATTTATTCCTCACTAACATCTTAAAACACACTCGCTAGTCATTTATCTAATTGCTGTGTACAATTTAGTTGCCACATTGCAACAGTGACTACAACTTCATTTGACTGTTAAGTGTCATAAAGTCATACAGCATAGAAACAGAACCTTCGATCCAACTAATCCATGCCGACCATTTTCCCAAAGTAAACTCGTCCCACCTGCCTGCGCTTGGCCCTTAGCTCTCTAAACCTTTCCTATTCATGTACTTATCTAAACGTTTTTAAATATTGTAACTGTACCTGCATCCACTACTTCCTCTGGCAGTTCATCCCACACATGAACCATTCTCTGTGTAAAAAAGAAAAGTTGCCCCTCATGTCCTTTTCAAAACTTCCTCCTCTCACCTTAAAAATAAGCCCCCTAGTTTTGAACTCTTCCCATTCTAGGGAAAAGACCCTTGCTATTCATCCTATCTATGCCCCTCATGAGTTTATAAATCTCTAATAAGGTCACCCCTCAACCTCCTTCGCTCCAGTGAAAAAAGTCCCAGCGTATACAGCCTATTTTTATAACTCAAACCCTCCATTCCTGACACCAATCTGGTGAATCTTTTCTGAACCCTCTCCAGTTTAATAATATCGTTCCTACAGCAGGGCAACCAGAACTGCATGCAGTACTCTGGTAGAGGCCTCACCAACATCCAGTATAATCATCATCTTCTTGAAAAGCTCTATATAAATGCAAATTCTTTTCTTTCTCATTCAGCTTTCACAGACAATCCATCAGTACTCAGTGAACTGTGCTCCACGTTGTCTCGCCTAGCTGTCAGGAATGAGTTCTGCCAGGACATCGTGGATCTAGGAGGTCTCAACTTCATGGTAGCCCTGTTGGCAGACTGCATTGAACATCGGGTGCGGAACAGGTCCTTTCATTTTCTCTAGGAAAAAGATTGAGAGGTGATCTGATGCAAATCATTAGAGTTACAAAGACATTCACTATGCTAAGTGTGATGAGGATGTCTTTAGTTGTGGGAGAGACCAAAACCAAGGGCCATAAACGTAAGATAATCACTAATAAATCCAACAGAGAATTCAGGAGAAACATCTTTCCCTAGAAAGTGGTGAGAATGTGGAACTCACTACCACAAGGAGTGGTTGAGGTGATGAGTGTGGTTATATTTAAGTGAAAGGAATAGAAGGATACTTCGGTGGATATCAAGTAAGGCACAAAGAGGTTTGTGTCGAGCATTAACAGTTTCTATAATGTAAATTCTAAGTAATTCCTTTAAAAGTTTTTTTTAGATCTGCTACTTATATCTTCACTCTGCTTTACACCCTTTTGTGTTAAAATATGTATCTTGACATCTCATGTAGGAGTAGGAAGCATTTAACCAGGTGAACATGTAGCTGTACAATTATGTTAGTTGACTCAAAGAGCTAACTTTTTCGCTTCTTATCCAAAAACCTTGTATTTACAACTATAATTTCAGCCAGTGTGAACTTGGAATATATTGCAGGCACAGTAAGACAGGTCTTTGAGAGGTACTGAAAGGTTGATTCGTAAGAGGATTTTAAGAGTAGAGGAGAGCTGTAGCTAGACTGTAGAGTCTCGTGCAGGGGGCATTGCTGTTGATGTTGGTGTAGAAGAATAGGTTAGGCTGAAGAAGATTATAAAGGATTTTGTAGCTCGATATTTTCAAGAACATGTATTGGATGAGCTGTTAGCAGTGGGCTAGCTGAATGCAGTTGGCATGATAGTCTCTTTGTGGGGCAAGATCTGGGTCCATACTCAGTCAAGAAGATGACTGAGTTCCAGGATAGGAATCAGTGACACCATAGCTAAATTGGTGCATACCATTTGTTGCACACATTAGTATGTGTGAGTTTGCTCGCATGATCAGTGCACATTGTCTCTCTCACTGCAAGTGGAAATGTACGTTCACTTCTGGCAAGGTACATTGCGATCGCTGCTGACCAGGATAGCCACTTAACTTCACTTACACTTCTGCGCACAGGATGCAGTGTTGCAGTGTTAATATCACTGGACCAGTAATCCAGAATCCTAGACGAATGTTCAGGGCTCCTGGATTTGAATCTCAGATAGTGAAATTGAATTCAATATTACAAAATCTGTAATGTAAAAAAAGTTGGTAATATGGTGACAATGTAACCATTGTTGTTTTTCGTAAGAACCCATCTGTTCTTTAGTAGCCTTGTGGTGCATTGGTACTGTACCTACCCCTGGACTGAGAAACCCAGGTTCAAGTCCCGTCTGCTCCAGAGGTGTGTAATAACTTAACAGGTTGATTAGAAATGTAGGGAAGGAAATTTGCCATCCTTACCTGATCAGACGTACATGTTGCTCCAGACCCACAGCAACATAGTTGACTGCCTTTGAAAATGGCCAAGCAAGCCGTTCATTTCAAGGGTACTTAATGATCGGCAGTAAGTGCTGGTCTAGCCAATGAATTCCAAATCCCATGAAAGAAGCTTTTAAACAAAAATCTGTCAATATACCACTGTTGAGAAAGTACTCACGACTGCTTTTTTTTTCTTGTTCTCTTAAATTGCAGGAAGTAGTAAAGCAGGTTCTGGGCGCATTGCGAGCGATCGCAGGTAATGATGAGGTAAAGGACGCAATCATAAATGCTGGTGGAACAGACCTGATTGTGTTAGCCATGAACCGACACTTGGGAACCCCACAGGTATGCAGCTTTGAAAGCTACAAGAGTCAGTGGAAGTGGAATAAAAACAGAAAGTGCCAGAAATATTAATCAAGCCAAGTAGATCTGAAGAATGAAAACAGAGTTAGTGTTTCATGTTAATGCTGTGGGCGGCAAGGTGATTTAGTGATTAAAACTGATGCTTTACAGCATGAGGGATCTGGGTTCGAATTCCAGCCCTGGGTGACTGCCTGTGTGAAGTTTGCATGTTCTTCCCATGTCTGCGTGAATTTCCTCCGGGTGCTTCTGTTTCCTCCTGCAGTCCAAAGATGTACAGGTACGGTGGATTAGCTGTGGTAAGTGTGGGGTCACGGGGATAGGGCTGGGTCTGTGTGGGATGCTCTTTGGATGGTCAGTGCAGAATTGATGGGCTGAATGGCCTCTTTCTTCCCATAGTGCAGTATTCTATTCTATGATTCCCTTTCAGCAGATTGACCTGCAACATTAACTTTGTTTCTCTGCTACCTGACCAGCTGAGTATTTTCAGTTTTTAATGTTTTTAATTCAGTTTTCCAGCATCTGCAGTTGTATCAATGGAAGTGAAAGTGTGGATGATGGGAATCAAATTCTGCTTTAATGTGTGTTAGGAGTTGGATGGAGGGGTGGGGGTGATGTGGAGTAACAGGAGGAGGTAAAATTCTGTCAATTGTCCTTATACACGTGTAGAATAATTTAGCTCCCACACTGAGAATCCTCACTGATAATGTACTACTGACCACACCCAAAAGATAGTGTGTAATATTGGGTTATGAGGTCCAGAGCATGGTATGGGAGGTGTGATCTTTTATCATGTTAATACACACAAACTGCCACCACTCATTTTGTAATGCCTCCGCACCTTTCTGAGCCAACATCAAAACTCTTTGTGCAATAAACTTCATTATTAACTCTGTCAGTTTTAGAAGTATTATTTAATTTGTTCTTTCGAATGCTTTTGAATTGTTCAGTTCAAAGCAGCCTAACAAAGACACAAACTCCAATGCACGTTCCCTCACGACATTGCCACTGTTTCCCACATCAACACCAATTAGCCCCCCGTGAAGAGTGGGAAGCTGGACCAAGTTGGGCTGCAGTTTCAGTGCTTCTGTGAAGTTGTATGTGTTTTTTCTTTTAACTTTGTTTCCTCTTTACGATAATCAGAAGCAAGGTAAACAAGGATTTAAACATTTAATTTTTATTAACATTAAAAAACTAATAAATAGTACAGCTTGAGAGTCTGAATGACCCAACTCTACTGCTTTGGGAGACATATAGGTTGATTCTTCATCTAAAAATCTGTGTGACATTCTTCTCGTCTATCTTTATGTTCTCATGGGCTTCAGAAGAGCAGCTTCTATACCATTCTTACCAACAAAACCAGCTTTTCAGTGACTTTCCTTTCTCACTCACCCAAGATTCTGCTGCTTGTTCTTGTCTGCATTGATTCTGATGTCACTTTCCATTTTTACCTGAATTTGAGTTAGCCTTGAGTCTCTGCTCAGTTCCAGCTCTGCTCCCATTCCTGGACACTGCAAGTGCTGATGTAAAATCTATTTGGAGACAGTGTCTACTAACTCTGACCTTCTCAGTGGAGCAAAGGCACTCAGTCATATGTGTATTTGAATTCTATATATTTTCCCATTTTTATTTTGTTTTGGTGACATGGAGACTTTTCTTCTCTTGTCCAAGTTTGTGTAGTAATGATACCTAACATGTATCTCAGCTATTAGGGAATGAATGTTCTTACTTGCACTTCTTCAATATAATAGGGTACAAAGAAATTTACTGGATCAGAATTTTTCCAGGCTTGCACAGACTGAAGAAACAACACACACTTGTTTTCTACAGATTCTCCTCCTTCATAGCCTTCCATGTAGCATACATAATACTTTTTGGATGTGATCAGCCTTCCTTTGGTAAATCAAGTCTTTCAATTAAATTCAGCCTCTTAACCCTGTAATTAATCCAATGATTTCCAGCCTTTTCTTACAGTTGTTTTATTTGTCCAAAATCCTTCAAAATGAATAGTGAGGATTTTTGTCAAAATCATATTAAGACCATTTTTCCCTTGCTCACGCAACGTTCTGTAATTGCCCCAGAGGGTTGATGGGGTGAGTCTGGGATTTTGCCACTGACTCTGTTTTCTATTGGTCTAGATCTGTGAACAGGGATGTGCTGCCTTGGGCATGTTTGCCTTACGGAAACCAGAAAATTGTCGTGTGATCATGGAGGGTGGTGGAGCACTGATTGCGTTGCAGGCAATGAAGGCACATCCAGCTGAGGTGAACGTCCAGGTGAGATGGGTGGATTAAAAGTAAGTTGGTGGTTTGGGGGAAGAACTGAAGATGGGATGGGATTTGAGAAAAAGGATGAAGGAATTCGTAAGGAGGTGGGTGGTTTGGAAACATGGGCGATACTTGAAGAAGGTGATGGGGGTTTGTGGAAGTGAAGGGGCAATGAGGAAAATGTAAGGGAGAGGAAAGGAGTGTAGAGTAGAGGTTGGGTGTAGGGGCATGCGTTAAAGAGCATACTGCTAGTTCAGTGTCAGAGAGTTTAGTTGTGTGGGATCAAACTGCAGCCTACTATTTCCACACTTGGGAGCTTTTATTTACAGTGTGATATATTTACAGGTATGAAACTCTAAAGCCCAACAAATATAGCTTCAGTTTGCTCCTATTTATGTCTCTTTTATGAATCCAACTGTCCCATTTGAAAATAAAACTGAGTAAATTGTGTTAGCAGATTCCAGGTGTGGTGGTGAGATTGAAACAAAACACATGCATCTTTTCTTTTGTGGAGGGAGTTTATTGACTTCCTCAGTCTTGCCCTGAACCATGCGACGGCTGCTCCCTATTTATATGTGCTTAGACAATTAATAGCTGCCACCTGTTTCTCTTAATCTTGAATAAAGACGCTAACAAATCTAAATGTGATTAACCAGACACTAAGAAATTGGACTTATATTAGAGGAATGAGAGGCAATCTCATTGAGACATACAAGATTCTGAAGGGACTTGATAGAGCAGATGCTGAAGACTCTTTGTACTGTTTGGGGGATCTAAAGCATGGGGACACAGGCTTCGGTAAGGGGCTGATTATATAGGAATATGAGGAGAAATGACCTCACTCAAAGGGTTGTGCGTCTGTGGAATTCCCTACCCAGAGAGTTGCGGATGCTTAATTGCTGAATACATTTAGGACAGTCATTGAAAATAGAAGCAATAGTAAGCCATTCAGCCCTTTGAGCCTGATCTGCCATTCAATATGATGATAGTCATTACCTTGTTCATACTTTCACTCCTTACCCTTTGATCCTCTAGTCCTAAGAGCTTTAACTAACTCTTGAAAACATTCAATGTTTTGGTCTTGACCACTTTCGGTGACAGAATTCCACAGGCTCATCACTTTTTGGATGAAGAAATTTCTTCTCATCTCTTTCTTAATGGCCTACTATGTATCCTTAGACTGTGACCCCTGTTTCTGGACTGCCCAGTTATGGAGACCATCCTTCCTATGTTTACTTTAAGGCTGAGAGGGTTACGCCTTACATATTAAGGCTGAGATGCACAGACTTGTGGTCTTTCAGGGAATCGAAAGATATGGGGAATGATGTGAAACTCTCGCTCAGCCTTCGTTGTACTGAATGGTGGAACAAGCTTGGTGAGCCATATGGTCTCCTCCTTATATTTCATGTGTTGTTCTGAAAGGCACCACTAATCCAGAAACAAACCAAAACTTTAAAGGAAACAACAACTGAAAATTAAAAGTGTAATTCCTGGGATTCTGCTCCTGTATGTGGAAGAATGAGTGAATTCTCAGTTAATGCCCACTACTTGAATATAATTAAACACTCTACTAACATACAGTCACCACTTGGGCACTTGTGCAGTGGTAGTGACCCTACCGCTGGACCAGGAGGTCCAGGTTCAAGTCCTACCTGCTCCAGAAGTGTGTAATAACATCTCTGAATAGGCTGATTAGAAAAATAGGCTAAAATAAAAAAAAACAGCTAACACTTTGGCTGTTGTGGTGCAGTGGTAGTGACCCTACCTCTGAGCCAGAAGGCATGGGTTCACGTCCAACCTGTACCAGATGTGTGTCGCAATATCTCAGAAGTCATGCACTGCAACTAAAATACGCAGCTAACTTGGGCACTTATGGTGGTATTTCTACCTCTGAGCCAGGAGGCATAGGTTCAAGTCCCATCTGCTCAGAGGTGTGTCCTAATATCTCTGAATAGCTTGATTAAAGAAACAGCTAAGACTCTCTGAGGGTTTTGTGGTGCAGTGGTAGTGACCCTGCTCCTGAGTCAGCAAGTCCAGGTTCAAGTCCCACCTGTCCCAAAGATATTATGACCTCTGAACAGGTTGATTTTAAAAAACATATACACAGCTAACACTGTTGAACCTCCATTTTAGCATGAGCAACCATTCTGTCTTACAGAAACAGGCCTGCATGTTGCTCCGTAACCTGGTGGCCCGCAATCCTGACTTCTCCCAGCTGATCCTGGAGATGGGAGCTGAGGTGCTCATCCTGCAGGCAAAGACCACACACCAAGACTGTGAGGACTTGGCAAAAGCTGCCCTGCGGGATCTTGGCTGCAAAGTGGAGCTTCAAGAGTTCTGGACAGGGCAGAAAGCTGAGATTTCCCGTTAACTGCCACTTTGGGACAAGACTAGGAGATGGACCCAGAAAGCACACGTCATGTTTCGTTGCACATTTCTGGATTTTTCTAACATTTAACCTCTGTGCTCATCTGAGACGTTGTACAAGCGACCAGAGAACCTGTGAGGTGTCTGTTTCAGCTGTGGTGAGTTGAGGATCTAATATTTAAACCACTTGTCTGGAAACACTTTGCATTCTGCTGCTGACGTTTTGGAGAGAAAAACAGCGCTGGGTAACATAACAATGGAATTTCCAGAAGCCTATTACCTGTCAAAGTGCAAGAAAGTTCAGACGTGGTCATTCTTAGTGGAAGGATCCTCTGAGTTTGGTAGTGATCATCAATCAATAGCCTGCTCCAAGTACCAATCTGCATTGTGGAAAGTCCCATTCACTGAAGTGGAGGCGAGGGTCGTGGCACGTGGCACTTGCCACCAGAGGATATTGAAGTGTTTAACACCAAACTTAATAGATTTTGTATCTTGAAGCAGGTTGTGAATCTGGTATTAAACATGCCCCACTCCATCCCATCAGTTAATAATTTAATCACCACCTCATTACACAGTGTAGGCTGCGTATATCTTGCCTTTTTGTCTGTTTCTTCCTTTTTTTAAAAAAAACTTGTTTAGCAGTGCCATAGTGCTCACTGGGTCTGTAAATGAAATGAACCATACATTACCAAGCAATTAATTTTAGATGCAGTGATTTCTTCTGATAGTTGATGATATACAGAATATTAAAAAATATCCAAAAGGAACTTTTAAGTCTGATCAGTAGGATTGACACCGGTGTTTCAATATTCCCACAACATGGGATCTTTATTAGCAATGGAGAGGAGATTCTCTCCATCCTTGCTTGATGATAGAATTGATTCTGTACAAGAGCCTAAGCAACACTGTTTACAACCCGACAACTAGACAGTCTCCTGTCATCACCTCTTAAAACAGTATTTTACACATTTTATTCAGTGCACATGCACAAATACACACCTCCCCTACATACCTAAGGCTTTGACACCATCGAACTCCTTGTGTGTAATAGAGATCACAGCTAGTTAATTGAGATTTGGTTGTGACTCTGCATTAGTCATGTCCTGTGCAAATTGTGAAAGCATGTCAGCAGATCTGGCAAATCCCCTGCAATTCTGTGATGACTTTGTTGGGCCCTGGATTTGAAATCCGATCAATATTATTGTCTTGCAGCTGGAAGCAATGTCTGCCTTGAGTGAGGTTGTCCCTTCTGTTCTGCTGCAGTGAGTCAGAGGTTGACTCTGTACACATCAGCAATGTTATTTAACCCTTACATGCATCTCTTTGAAAGCACTGACATGGACGTTACTGTTTGAGGTCATAAACCTATTATGTATTTCCACAAATTTATTGTTTTATCTTGGCAGTCATGCCCGGCTGTTTTTAATGTATTTTAATGTATTAAAAGTGTTTGTGTGCATGCAATTCTTTTTCTTTTATAAATCCCTATATCCACATTTAAAATGGAAATGTCTATGTAAACATGCCACATGGTAATAACAGTCTTCCAGCAATGGGGCTGCTGTAGTGCCACCTGTAAATTGGGGCAGAGGTTTCCCGTTTTCACCCTACTGGTGGAATTCTTTTCCTGAAGGCACCTCCCATTATAAGATGGAGGGAGGAAAGTTTCTTGATGCCATATCTCAGCAAGGATTACTTAGTCTTGCAGAGGTCCAGAACAGATTGACCAGAATGATATAGGAGCTAAAAGGTTAAATTATGAAAACATTATTATAGACCAGGTTGCATTATCCTAACAATGGAAAATTAATGGAAGGTTCTAATTGATATGTTTAAGTTGGTTAACATTCAGGGGGTAATATCAAGAAGCACTTCCCAATACAAAGGGATCTGGAAATCTGTGACTCTCCAAAAAGGTTGTTTAGGCCAGGCATCAATAGATAATTCTCCACTAAATTGTGAAATTAAGGGCAAGTGTTATACAACAAAAAACTTTAAGATAGCAAGTGGCTCAGGTCTGGAATACACTGCCGAGAGTGAGATGGAAGCAGGTTCAATGGAGATTTTCAAAAGGGAATTAGATTGATACTTGAAAAGGAAAAATGTGTAAGGTTATATGGGAAGACTGATTTGCACTAAATGACACACTCATTCAAAGAGCTGGTGCAGACAAGATATGCTGAATTGTCTCCTGGTCCAGAACGTTCCATAATCTAATTGAAGGACGGAAGAGGACAGTGGGGCTGAAAGGCCTCCTGTTCCTACCCCAATAATTTCTGCACTGTACCTGCCTCTCTGGGTCATTACTGAAGGATGAAGCGTTGTAACAAGAGACCTGATATGACTAAAAATAGAAACAGAAGGTGTTTCACTGCAGTGCAATGCTGGGAAGAACTAGAAGCAGTAACTCTGGCCCAAACATTGGTGCATTGTCAGCATGACCTGCAAAAATAACTAAGGAGCAGTCTTATCTATCTCTGTTAACTGAGGTGGGTGTGTGTTAGACTTGCAGATAATGTAATGGCTTGTAAATATTATTTTCTTTTACAGTAGCATTGTCATTCTGATCCGTGAGCTACAGCAAGACTGGAACAACTAAAATTAGAGAGAGGCTGTTCAGGAGTGGTGTCAGGAAGTAGTTGTTCTTCATGCAAAGGGGAATGAAAATCTGGAGATCTCTCACTCAAAAAAACTGTTGAGGCTGGAAATAAATTGCAAGATTTCATAACTGAATTTGGTAGATGTTTGGTCAGTCAGGTTTACATGACCAAGGCAGGTAAATGGAGTTCAGGCCTCAATGGTCGCCTTCTGTTGCATACAGAACACAAAGACAAGATATTAAAGGCGATGAGTAGAAGTGCAATTAATGCTGTTCTTTGAACAACTTCAGTACTCCAATTTTTTTAAAAAAATCTTCCAATCAGCAGAACTGTTTGTCAGATTGTCATTGTACTTGTAAATGCCTCTGACCCTACGCTGCTACGCATTTATCTGGCTTTCACAGAAAAACATGCATTAGCAACCATCAAGGAACTCCAAACAGCAGGACAGAGTCAGGGTATGACAGAACATATGCCCCATTTTTACAGCACTAGCTGATGTGTGGTAAGTTTAAAGGTCCAGTTTGAATGTTAGTGAATGCATGGATCGGTGAATGGGTAAAGTGGGGGAGGTAGTCAGGTGGCCAAGTAGTCAGCTAGTTGAGTCACGGGGTTGGTCAGGAAAGTAATAGGGTTGGAGGGATAGTCACCTGCAGGGTGGGTAGTTGGATTGTCAGGTTGTGTGGGGATACATGTCAAGAGGATGGTTTGATCTTATCAGGGGTTATAGTCAGCTTGGGTTAGCTGGCGGAAGTAGTCTGGGTCAGGGGAGTCTTGAATCGGGGGTCAGTTGTGTAGTTACCTAGATGTTGAACTAGTTTTTCCCTCTGATTAATATTTTGTGGATGACTACCTAGCTATTCACAATATATATTAATGATTATGCTGAGGGTACAAAATGTAATATTTCCAAATTTGCAGATGACACAAAGCTGGGTAGAACAGTGAGCTGTGAGGAGGTTGCAGGGATTCTTCAGTGTGATTTGGACAAGCTGAGTGAGTGGGCAAATGCATGGCAGATACAATGCAATGTGTGTAAATATAAGGTTTTCCACTTTGGGACCAGGGGTTATAGTCCGAGGATAAAGGGCAGACTACTTAGGATTGAAATGAGTTTTTTTTTCCCACGCAGAGAGTGGTGAACATGTAGAATTTGCCATCATAGAAAACAGTCCAGGCAAAATATGATTTCAAGAAGGAGGTGGATACAGCAACTGGGGCTTAAGGGATCAAAGGATTTGGGGGAAATGTGCGAACAGGCTAGTGAGTTGAATGATGAGCCATGGCCATAATGTATGGCCTACTGCTGCTTCTATTTTATGTGTTTCTATGTTTTACCTAAGTAAGCACTGTGAAACTATTTGAAATCTCCAATTAGTTCACTGTCAGAGACATTTATACAACGTGCCAAGAAGCAGCACAATCGCCCATCGGAAACTGAAATTTGCCAAGCATTCTCATATAGCTTTGTGCATTAGGACATCCACATTTTTGGTTGTATGGCCTGTGTCTGATGATGTGGAGACTGGAGGATTTGGCCCATTTTCTACTGCAATTATTCCATGGAGCAAATCATTCTCTTTTGAAGAACAAGACCTGTTGGTAACGTTACTGCTAGTTTGCTGCCTTGTTTAATACATATAAAACACATGAAAAGGGCAGCCAGTGACTAGAGAGAATTTTTAAACCAGACTAACTAGATTTAGGGCATTTGCCCATTTTAGTTAAAGAATGAAGTGTGGAGATAAATAAAAGTACATGTAGAGGTTGAAAATATAACATCCCTCTCCCCTCTTTCTGCCAATCCAATGACAAGTTGGCTGTGTTCACGGAGTACAAGATAAAGGGCTGATCTGATTGAGGTGATTGAAATAATAATTTTCTAGGATAATTTATTTTTTATTTGTTCTTGGATGTGGTTAGGTCATCATTTCTTGCTCATCCCTAATTACCCAGAAGACAGTTAAGAGTCAACCACATTGCTTTGGGTCTGGAGTTATGTGTAAGCCATACCAGGTAAGGATGACAGCTGTCCTTTCCTAAAGGGCATTCGTGAATCAGATTTACACAACTTAACCGTGGTTATGTGAATGTTCCAGATTTTTAAAAGTTGAATTCAAATTTCACCATCTACCATGGTGATATTCAAACCCATGTTTCCAGGATATGAGCCTGCATTTCTGGATTACTAGTCTAGTGATATTACCACTATGACAACACCTCTCTTAAACAGAAAAACAATTTTCTTTGCGAATTACAATGAGAGACATCATCTTAAGCCATGCCATTCAGTAGTACAATTAGGAGGCATCTGTTCACATAGTCATAGAGTTGTATAGCATGGAAACAGACTCTTCGCTCCAACTTGTCCATGCCAACCAGATATCCTAAATTAATCTAGTCCTATTTGCCAGCATTTGGCCCATATCCCTCTAAACCCTCCACCACTTCGTCTAGCAGCTCATTCCATACATGCACCACCCTCTGTGTAAAAAGGTTGCCCTTAGGTGCCTTTTAAATCTTTCCCCTTTTACCTTAAACTTATGCCGTCTATTTTTGGACTCCCCTACTCTGGGGGGGAAAAAAGACCTTGTCTGTTCACCCTATTCATGCCCTTCGTTATTTTATAAACCTGTAAAAGGTCAGCCATCAGCTTTCGATGTTCCGGGGGAAAATAGCCCCAGCCTATTTAATCTCTCCCTATAGCTCAAACATTCCAACCCTGGCAACATGCTTTGCTGCACCCTTTCAAGTTTCACAACATCTTTCCGATAGCAGGGAGACCAAAATTGAATGCAGTATTCCAGAAGTGGCCTCACCAATGTTCTGTACAGTTGGAATATGACCTCCTAACTGCTATACTCAATGCACTGACCAATAAAGGCAAGTGCACCAAATGCCTTCTGCACAATCCTATCGACCTGCGACTCCACCTTCAAGGAACTATGAACCTGCACCTCAAGGTCTCTTTGTTTAGTGATACACCCTTGGTAGGGGAAGTAAGTGTTCTCTCCCCCAAAGTTGGGAACATTGAGGGCCAGTTTTAAAATGAATAGATTTTTGTTAAGCAAAGATATGTACTGATTTGCAGCAAAGGTAATAAATGGAGTTGAGTCACAGATCAGTTGTGATCTGTGGAGCAAGTTCAAGGGGTTGTCCCGATGATCCTTTACATAACCTATTTATGTTGTTAGTTCTATTAGTCATGGAGTTGATGTACTGATTGCAGACTTGTTCAAGCTTTTTTTTTGTCTCCATGTCTGCATAAGCTTCAGGCCTCCTTGGCAAATTCCTGTTAATCAGCATAAATGTTGAATTGTACAGCTTTGACCGAATTTCCCTAAGCAAAATATTTAAAGTAGGTCGGATGCAACTGTATTGGAAAATGTGCAATGCAAGTAAAAAAAAAATTAGCTGTGACTGCGTGATCTAACAATGCTTGCACCTTTTTATGCATTTTATCCCTTAGCCTAAAGAGTATATTTTTTAAATTGAATTACTGTAAAATTGGCAAATAGAGTAACCATTTTACCACATCAAAGTCCACCGTACCGCAGTTGTATTAATAACTAGCTTACCTATTTATGGTGAATACTTGAAATGATATTTCAGTCAGAACAGATAGCAGATTTTCCTCCTCTTCATATCATGCTAGAAAATCTTTGCAATCACCTATATCAGCAGGACATCCTTACACACCCTTGATTTACCATCTCAGCTGAACAATAGAATGTCCAACAAGACAGGAATTCCTAACAACTGCAGTGATCAACCAATATTGTCTCTTTTGCCTTAGCATACAAATTAGGAGCAGGAGTACAGCCTGCTCCACCATTCAGTAAGATAATGGCTATCTGATTGTGGCTTCAACTGTACATTTGTGCCTACCCTGACAACTGTTGACTCCCTTGTTAACAATTTATCTGCCTCTACGTTAAAAGTAATCGATGACCAAATCTCCACCGCTGTATAGGGAAAAAAGGAGTTCCAGATTCTCAAATTTTGGAGAAAAAAAACAGTCCTCATCTCCGTCACAACTGCTTCCCCCAATTCTAGTCTTCACAACAAAAGAGAAACACACTTTCGGAATCTACTTTATCAGGCTCCCTCAGCCTTCATTTCAAATAAGATAAATAACAATAAATAAGATATGTCATTCTTAATTCCAATGGGCACAACCTGATACTGTCCAATGTTTCCACGTAATATACCATCCTTCGCCCCAAGCCCAGATGTAGTTGAGTGAACATTCTCATACTATGAGATTATGTGGCCATGTCCTGTTTAATGAAAACAAATTTTTTTTGTGTTTCCCAGTTAAAAAATGTTGAATATTTACAAAGGATTAACAGAAAAAGTAGATGAAATATGTAGTATGGAACTGAGCCACTATGGGGTTATTACAAATGGTCTGATAGTCAACTATGGCTCGATATTAGTACCTTCAAATCCCATTCTAGAGGATCAGCTCTGTAATCCAGGTTGACATTCCTTATAAAATCTGAGGAATGCCAACCTGTGAAAGGTTCTGTCTTTCACTTGGGACATTAAACGGAGGCTTCAGCTATCTTCTCAAATGGAAATAAAACTTCAAGTGAAAACTGAAATGAGAGAAATGAAGGGATCACAGAAGAAGAGACAACCAGCTAACAAAAAAGGGAACCTCAAGGTCTTCCATAGGCCTTTAAACAGTAAAAGTGTGATGGAAAAGAGCAGTGGGGCTTGGGGACCAAAGAGGAGGTTTGCCCATGGAGGTAGAGGATATGCTGAGGTACTAAATAAGCACTTTCCACCTGTCTTTTCCAAGCGAAATTGTGTTGCCAAAGTCACAATGAAAGGATGCGCTCGAAATATTGATGGAGTTATACTGTACAGAAAAAGACCCTTTGGTCCAACTTGTCTATGCCAACCAGGTTTCCCAAACTAAACTAGTCCCATTTGCCTGCATTTGGCCTATATATCCCTCTAAACCTTTCTTATTCATGTACCTATCCAAATGTCTTTTAAATTTTGTAACTGTACCTGCATCTACCACTTCGTCTAGTATTCATTCCAAATACGAACCACCCTCCATGTGAAAATGTTGCCCCTCAGGTCCCTTTAAAATTCTTCTCCTCTCACCTTGTCTATACGCCTCATGATTTTTTAAACCTCCATAAAGTCACCCCTCAACCTCGTACACGCTAGTGAAAGAAACATTGGTAAAGAGGAGACATTAGAAAGGCTAGCAGTCTTTCAGGACCAAAAAGTTCCTAAGTTTTCAGGACCAGATCAGATGTATCTCAGGATAATGAGAGATGCAACAGTGGAAATAATGGAGACATGGCTGTGATTTTCCTGTTGTCCTTGGATATCAATGGTGGTGTATTGGGAAGTGTGGATGTACAAAGAGATCTGGGTGTCCTGGTACTTTCGGTGAAAGTTGACTGGCAGGTGCAAATATTGGTATATTGGTCCTTATTGCAAGAGTATTTCAGTTCAGTAATAGGCAACATAGTTCCAGCAGGGTAATGAAACGTCTGCGAATTAATGAACCAGCTCGGCGAGCGAACCAACCGCAACATCCACAACCCAAGTTACAAATCTACTCAAGAACCTTCGATTGGGTCAACTGGGTCTGTATTCACTACAGTTTAGAAGGCGTAGTGGAGGTCTGATTGAAATGTATATAATTCTAACAAGTCTGGACAGACTAGATGCAGGGAGGATATTTTTCCTAATTGAGAGTGTAGAACCAGGGATAACAGTCTCAGGATACTGGGTAGATAATTTAGTACTGAGATGAGGAAACATTTCATCACTCAGTGGGTAGTGGACCTAGGGAATTCTCTACCACAGGAGGCTGTGGAAGCCAAGTCACTGAATATATCCAAGAAAAAGATATATACATTTGTAGATTTTAAAGGCATAAAGGGGTAGGAGAAGAAAGCAGGAATGTGGCATTGCGATAAAAGATCAGTCACGATCGTACTAAAGCACTGAATGGCCCACTTCTATTCAGAGTTTCTATGGAGGGGTAGTGCTAGGGAACTGGAGGATTCTATTTGTTACACCCATCTTCTAAGAATAAGCCTAGCAGCTACTGTATAGACTGGTCATTTTAACCTCAGTGGAAGGAAAGCTTTTAAAAATCACAAAGTTAACAGTTACTGAAAGAAAAAGCTACCGCACATTGTTAACAATACATTGTATTGAGGCTTTTGATGAGGTAACAGGAGAGTTGAAAAGGACCAGAGGATGCTGGTTCGAATAAACAAAAACAGAAATTGCTAGAGAAACTCAGCAGGTCTGGCAGCATCTGTGGAAAGAAAGCAGAGTGCAAGAAAGAATGCATGAAGATGCATCTCTCTCTACAGATGCTGCCAGACCGGCTGAGCTTGTCCACAATTTCTGTTTTCGTTTCTGATTTACGGCATTACGGCATCCGCAGTTCTTTCGATTTCGCCAGAACATTACCTGGGTCTCTGGATTAAAACCACTACGCCAACGCCTACCCTTGTACATTTTATGAACCAGGTGCCTGTAAAGGAGCGGCAGTATAGTTTGTTATTGGTATTGAGGCCGTGGGCACGAGGGGCATGTAATTAAGGTTTTCCTTGCTCAGTGATTAAGCTTTAGGTGTAGATATTTTCTAATCGGTCCGTTCGGGGATGCTATGACTTACCGAGGGAGCAGATGGGACTTGAAGCCGGATCTTCTGACTCAGAGGTAAGGACACTACCACTGCGCCACAAGAGTCCACGGAGCGTGGGATCGGAGTTGAACTTTGTTGTGAAGGCACTGCAGTCGAGTAGCTGGGTTGGCACAGCGCCTTCAGCCAACAAAAGGAGAACGATAGCATTAACGTCCGCTCAGTTTATCAAAGTTTTGTGACCTTTCTGAAGCCATCCCACCCCCTGTCAATGTACCTCCATAATCAATCTTCCATTGGTAGCTCCCACTGTCAATCAGCCCGGCACAATGACCCGCCCCTAACGGCAGGATTGAGGGTGTGAGGTAAAAGTGAGTGAAATATATTCTGAGATAGTAGGAACTGCAGATGCTGGAGAATCCGAGACATATTCTGCATCGGAGCCAAAGTCAAAACATTTAAAACATTTTCTTGTCCACCTCTGTCATAACCTTTTCTGTCATCTCGTGTCGCAAATAAAATTACTCACAAATAGTGAAAGGTCTCCCGCAGACCAACTGATGGTTCCACCCTAGCCCTTCTCTGATTGGTCTAGTTTTTACAGGCGGCTCAAGCATTTCGAGCGATGATTGGTTTAGGGTGCGTCCATCACACTCATTCTCACCGAATAGGCATTAGTCCATCCCGGCGGCGCCCTATTGATGAAAGGCTGTGCCAATCACTGCACATTGTTGTACCGCCAATCAATGTGACGCCACTTATGATTGGATAAATTGACGAACGCATCGGCGCGCACACCCCCACACGGTTAGCCAATCGGATCCCGGGCCTGGCGCAATGGGCGGTCCCGAGCATCGCGCAGTCTGTTGTCCGCCTGCGGGGCGCGAGTGAGTCCAATGGCGGCAGGTCCTCCAGCATCCCAGCATTCCCTCCCCAATACCACCACTCCCGCTTCCCCAGCCCCAACAACAACAACAACACCACCACCACCCCCTGGCTCAAAGTTTACAGTCACTGAAGAGGACAGCTGAGGAGACCGTCAGTGTCAGGGACTGACGGAGGGAGGAGACGGGCTGAGGGAACGTGGAAACAGGGCTCAGGGAGGTGAAGATAGAGCTGAGGGAAAGATGAGACTGGGGCTGAGGGACGGGAGCTAACACTGAGGAAGGCGAGACAACACCTGAAGGAGGGGAGGTAGGAGCTAAGGGAGGGCAGACAGGGCTGAAAGGAGGTAGGAGCTGAGGGAGGGCAGAGGGACAAGAGAAGGGGCTCACAGAAGACGAGAGCTGAGGGATGAGCGACAGGAGCTGAGGGAGTGGAGACAGAGCAGGAGTGAGGGGGCTGAGACTTAACGTTAGACCAAGGTAGAGAAGATGAGGGTGTTTCAGCGTTAGGGGACCAGGGGAGGCAAGACCGAAAGTGGGCCAGACAGCCGGGAGTCAGAGGGAATGAGGGCGAGCCAGGCAGCTGATGGTCATAGTAATTGAGGGAGGCCACGACAGGGTAAAATGGGGGGAGCGTTGGTCAGTTCAGACTGAGGGAAGGAGTAGCCAGGCTAAGGGTTTCCTAGGAAAATATAGATTGAGAAGTGAGGGAGGGTAAGTGCAGTGAGAACCACAAAGGGGGCAAAGTGACAGACAAGAGTAGATCACATAGAGTAAGAGGCAAGGGTTTTGACGGATTAGTAGCAGGCTGGAGTTAGTGAAGGGGGCTGGTAGAACAGAACGTTGAGGATCAGAATGGTAGACTGAGCTAGTAAAGCTGAGATATATACTGGAACAAACAGGGCTGAACGAGGACAGCAGAGAGCCTGGTTTGCCAAAAAACACATCCAGAGATCGCACAGACCAAGGTAAATACAGCAAAAGTCTGTCCACCACAATCTGCAGTCTGTTAAAAATGTCATACTGTATTATCTGTATTCAGCTTGATCTTTAATGGTTTGAATAAATATATTCAATGAGTAGAAGACGTTCTTTTAGACAGGTTGCTGTGCAAGACTGCTGAATAGCCTTTGATTTTTTTCTTCCAGTTTTGACATCTGGTTAGGATCTATTGCAAAATATTGCCTTTTTACAGGCAACACCTAGCTTGTAGCTGTTATAACAAGGTGCGGAGCTGGATGAACACAGCAGGCCAAGCAGGAAGGCTGACGTTTTGGGCTGAGACCCTTCTTCAGAAATGGGGGAGGGGAAGGGGGTTCTGAAATAAATAGGGCGAGAAAGAGAGGCGGATCGAAGATGGATAGAGGAGAAGATAGGTGGAGAGGAAACAGACAGGTCAGAGAGGCGGGGATGGAGCCAGCAGAGGTGAGTGTAGGTGGGGAGGTAGGGAGGGGATAGGTCAGTCCAGGGAGGATGGACAGGTCAAGGGGGCGCGATGAGGTTAGTAGGTAGGAGATGCGGGTGGGGCTTGGGATGGGAGGATGGGAGGAGGGGATAGGTGGGAGGAAGGACAGGTTAGGGAGGTGGGGATGAGCTGGGCTGGTTTTGGGATGCGATGGGGGAGGGGAGATTTTGAAGCTTGTGAAGTCCACGTTGATACCATTGGGCCGCAGGGTTCCCAAGCGGAATATGAGTTGCTGTTCCTGCAACCTTCGGGTAGCATCGTTGTGGCATTGCCGGAGGCCCAGGATGGACATGTCGTCTGAGGAATAGGAGGAGGAGTTGAAATGGTTCGCGAGTGGGAGGTGCAATTGTTTATTGCGAACCGAGCGTAGGTGTTCTGCAAAACGGTCCCCAAGCCTCCGCTTGGTTTCCCCGATGTAGAGGAGGCCACAACGGGAACAGCGGATGCAGTATACCACATTAGCAGATGTGCAAGTAAACATCTGCTTGATGTGGAAAGTCTTCTTGGGGCCTGGGATGGGGATGGGGGTGAGGGGGGAGGTGTAGGGGCAGGTGTAGCACTTCCTGCGGTTGCAGGGAAAAGTGCCAGGTGTGGTGGGGCTGGAGGGGAGTGTGGAGCGGACAAGGGAGTCCTGGAGAGAGTGGTCCCTCCGGAAAGCAGATAAGGGTGGGGAGGGAAAAATGTCTTTGGTGGTGGGGTCGGATTGCAGATGGCGGAAGTGTCGGAGGATGATGCGTTGGATCCGGAGGTTGGTGGGGTGGTACGTGAGGACGAGGGGGATTCTTTTTTGGTTGTTATTGCGGGGAGGGGGTGTGAGGGATGAGTTGCGGGAAATGCGGGAGACACGGTGGAGGGCGTTCTCGACCACTGAAGGGGGGAAGTTGCGGTCCTTGAAAAACGAGGACATCCTGGGAGCAGATGCGGCGGAGGCGAAGGAATTGGGAATAGGGGATGGCATTTTTGCAGGAAGGTGGGTGGGAGGAGGTGTATTCTAGGTAGCTGTGGGAGTCGGTGGGCTTGAAATGGATATCGGTTTCTAGGTGGTTGCCAGAGATGGAGACAGAGAGGTCCAGGAAGGAGAGAGAGAGGTATTGGAGATGGTCCAGGTGAACTTAAGGTTGGGCTGGAAGGTGTTGGTGAAGTGGATGAACTGTTCGAGCTCCTCGTGGGAGCACGAGACGGCGCCGATACAGTCATCAATGTAACGGAGGAAGAGGTGGGGTTTAGGGCCAGTGTAGGTACGGAAGAGGGATTGTTCCACGTAACCTACGAAGAGGCAGGCATGGCTTGGGCCCATGCGGGTACCGATGGCCACCCCCTTTGTCTGTAGGAAGTGGGAGGAATTAAAAGAGAAGTTGTTGAGGGTGAGGACGAGTTCAGCCAAGCGGATGAGGGTGTCAGTGGAGGGGGACTGGTCGGGCCTGCGGGACAGGAAGAAGCGGAGGGCCTTCAGGCCATCTGTATGGGGAATGCAGGTGTATAGGGACTGGATGTCCATGGTAAAGATGAGGTGTTGGGGACTGGGGAATTGGAAGTTCTGGAGTAGTTGGAGGGCATGGGTGGTGTCACGTACATGGGTAGGGAGTTCCTGGACTAAGGGTGAGAAAATGGAGTTGAGATAGGTGGAGATAAGTTCGGTGGGGCAGGAGCAGGCAGAGACAATGGGTCGACCAGGGTAGTCAGGTTTGTGGAATTTAGGAAGGAGATAGAAGCGGGGTTGGGGAACGATGAGGTTGGGGGCTGTGGGTGGAAGGTCACCTGAGGTGAAGAGGTTGTGGATGATTTGGGAGATGATGGTTTGGTGGTCGGGGGTGGGGTCATGATCAAGGGGGCGGTGTCGGAGAGTTGGCGCCTGGCCTCGGCGATGTAGAGGTCAGTGTGCCATACTACAACTGCGCCTCCCTTGTCCGCGGGGTTTATGGTGAGGTTGGGATTGGAGCGGAGGGCTGCACGTTCTGCGGGGGAGAGGTTGAGGCGATTGATATCTCGACGGCAGTTGTAGCTGTTATTCAGATTTTTTGAGAACATTTTACAATTGAAGCTAAACAACTGGCCTTTTAACAATTTCAGGTGGTTTCAAAGATTAGGCAACAAAGTTGGAAAAAGCTGTATATAATGAACATATGAAATCATATGTTTAAAAAGATGGTGCGATTTCCTGAAATTTTGATTAGGCCCATTAGTTGTCCTTTTCAGATTTCAGTATTTGTTGTTTTCATAACTGTGGGGATTTTCTTTCCTTTTAAAGTAGCACTCATGAACCTCTGCTTTTTGATTAGTGTCGAGTCATACAGCATGGAAACAGACCCTTTGGTCCAAGTGGTCTCTGCCGACTAGAAATCCCAATCTGACCTTGTCCTGTTTGTCAGTATTTGGCCCTAATCCCCCTCAACCCTTCCTATTCATGTACCCATCCTGATGCCTTTTAAATGTTGTAATTATACCAGCCTCCACCACTTCCTCTGTCAGATTGTTCCACATATGCACCAATCTCTGTGTGAAAGAGTTACCCCTTGGGTCCTATTTAAATCTTTCCCTACTCTCCTTAAACCTGTGCCTTTTTGTCTTGGACTCCCACACCCTAGGAAAAAGACTGTGGCTATTCGCCGTATCCATGCCACTCAATTTTATAAACCTCTATAAGGTCACCCCTCAGCCTCAGACGCTTCAGGGAAAATAGCCTCAATCTATTCGGCGTCTCCCTATAGCTCAAACCGTCCAACTCCAGCAACATCCCTATAAATCTTTTCTGAACCGTTTCAAGTTTCATAACATCCTTCCAAAGCAGGAAGACCAGAACTGAACGCCGTATTCCAAAAGTAGCCTAACCAATGTCCTATACAGCTATAACATGACATACCAACTCCTATACTCAATGCACTGACCAATAAAGGCAACCATACCAAACGCCTTTTACACTACCCTGTCTACCTGTGACTCCAGTTTCAAACAGCTATGAACCTGCACTCCAAGGTCTCTGTTCAGCAACATTCCTAGGATCCAACCATTAAGTCTATAAGTCCTACTGTGATTTTCCTTACCAAAATGCAACACCTCACATTTATCTAAATTAAAATCCATCTGCCACTCCTCGGCCCATTGGCTCATCTGATCAAGGTACTGTTGTACTCTGAGGTAACCTTCTTCACTATCCGTTACACCACCAACTTTGGTGTCACCTGCAAACTTACTAACCATTCCTCCTACTTTTCACATCTAAAGCATTTATATGACAAAAAGCAGTGGACCAAGCACTGAACCTAGCAGCACACCACTGATCACGGGCCTCCAGTCCGAAAGGCAACCCTCCACCACTGCTCCCCACTGCAGTTTCCTATCTTCAAGCGAATTTTGTATCCAACTGACTAGCTCTTCCTGTATTCCATGTGGTCTAACCTTGCTAACCAGTACACCTTGCAGAACATTGAATGCCATGCTGAAGTCAGTATAAACAATATCCACCACTCTGCCTATTTCAATCTTCTTTGGCACTACTTCAAAAAACTCAATCAAATTAGACAGACATGATTTCCCATGTTGACTATCCTTAATCAGTCCTTGACCTTCCAAATACCTGTAAATCCCGTCCCTCAGAATCCCCTCCAACAGCTGCCCACCACTGACGTCAGGTTCACTGGCCTATGGTTTCCTGGCTTTTCCTAACTACTTTTCTTAAATAATGGAGCCATATTAGCCATCCTCCAATCTTCTGGCACCCCACCCGTGGCTATCGATGATACAGATATCTCAGCAAGGGGTCCAATAATCACTTCCCTAGCTTCTTTCAAAATTCTGGGATACACCTGATCATAGATCATTTAGATAAAATGCAAATGTGTCATTCAGACTGCACAGCAAAGAATTTTAATTTTGCTTAGATTAATTATAGGGTCATCCTTTGAGTTACTGAAGGCAGATTTATAGGCAATTTTGCTGCATATTTTGAGATAGTTGCTGCATTAGTTTTAAATTTCCAAAATTCCCGAGGTATAAAAATGTTTCCCTTCAAATTGAAATGTAAGGCAAAAGTAACGTCTTTCTTCAAAAAGGAGGAAGACGGATTTCAGGAAACTACCAGCCAATTAGCCAACATCTGTTTTAGGCAAAACATCAGCTATTGTTAAACGTGTTGCAGAGCACTTAGAAAAATTCGAAGTTATTAGTCAAAAATGTATTGTCAAAGGAAAAGTCCTGTTTAACCAATTTATTGGAGTTCTTTGAGGAAGTAACATATTGTCAATAGGGAAGAACCAATGGATGTGCTATTCATGGATTTCCAGAAGGCATTTGATAAGATGGCAAACAAAAGCTTGTGTAAAATAAAAACTCATCATATTGGGGGTAAAATATTGGCATAGATTTGAGGTGTAAATGGATAATTTTCCAATTTTGCGTGAATGAAATGTGTTCTACAGGAATCAAAGCTAAGGCCTCAAACTTTTACAATTTATATAAGTTGAAGAGAATGAGGTAAACTTGCTAAATTTGCTTACGATGCAATGA